AAAAAAAAAAAAAAAATTGAAAAAAGAAAAAGCAATGGTGCTGGAGCCATGCAGGCGCAAATAAGCTCTCAAATCTTATCCCATACTATTTGCAGAATTTAGTTTGAGATGGATCTCATTTTACATTTTACACCTAAATGCAAATGTAAAAGCTCAAATTCTCAAGTCATCAACAGACACTGTTAGGAAAGTAAATAAGCACACAGAGTGGGAGAAAATATTTGCAATTACTACATTTGATACAGCATTTATATTCAAAATATTTAATAAGCTATAACTCAATAATAAGAAAACAAAAATCTTAACTAAAAATTGGCAGTCTTGACAAGACACTTTACAAAGGGAGGTATATGTGAATGATCCATAATCACATGAAAAAGTGTTCAGCATCATTAATCATCAGGGAAAAGCAAATTAAAACCACAGTGAGAAAAACCACACACTCATAAGAATAACTAATGTTTAAAACACTGACAAGACCAAGTGTTAACCAGGATGTAGAAATATTAATATTTCACACGCTCATGATGGGAGGATAAAATGGCACAACCAGTTTAAAAAATAATGTGGCATTCTCTTGTAAAATTAAATATACACCTACCCAACCCAGCAATTCCACTTTAGTTAGGTTCACAGAAAAGGCGTGTACATCGCAGTACTTTATTCACAATAGAAAAAAATGGGAAAAGCAGATGTCCACTGACAGGAAAAAGAATATTTTGTGGTCTCTTCACACAATGGAATACAACTATAAAGAATAAAATGGAACAAACTTGATGCATACAACATAAATAAATATCAAAATTATTTTGCTTGGAGAATGAAGCAAGACACCAAATAACACTTGTTCTGTGATTCCATTATTATTTTATTATAGAACACACAAAGCTAATCATTATTAAAAAAAAAATCAGAACAGTGATTGCTTCTAGGAAATGCGAATTGATTGAAAGAGGATGTAAGAAAGTTTTCTGGGGTTGATGGCAGTGATCTATTATCTTGATGAAGGTGTGGGTTATACAAATGATGTATGCTTTTTTTTTTTTTTTTTTTTTTTTTTTTTTTTTTTTTAAGAGTCAGGGCCTGGCTCTGTAGCCCAAACTGGAATGCAGTGGCACCATCACGGCTCACTACAGCCTGGAACTCCTGGACTCAAGCAATTCTCCCGCTTCAGCCTCCTGAGTGGCTGTGACTACAGGCATGCCCCACCACCAGGATAACTTTTAAATTTTTTGTAGAGACCAGGGTCTTGCTCTATCATCCAGGCTGGAGTGCAGTGACACGATCACTGCAGCCTCGAACTCCTGGCCTCATTAGTCCTTCTGCCTTGGCTTCCCAAAGTGCTGAGATTATAGACATGAGCCACTGTGCTCTGTCTGTGACACCACTCATGATCTAAATGTTTGTATTTGTCAAAACTGATCAAACTGCATACTTAAAACTAACATATGTCACTGTATGTACATTATATCTTAATTTAAAAAGAAAAGAGGAATAGTGAGATAAAACATTAAGTACTGGTACATTTAAGAAAAAAACCTGTATATTGTGAAACAAATGTTTGGCTTTTATAATTGTAGTTATAAAGAGAATATAAGAATATTTACCATGATTACAGCTGCACTAGCTAAAGTTTTTAAGCACAATCTATTCTAACTGCTCTGGGAGATTAAAAGAAAAATGTGTTTTTATACTTCATTGGCATGTTTTAAATTGTATTTTCTTTTTAAATTAAATTATTATTTATTTTCTGAGACAGGGTCTCACTCTGTTGCTCAGGCTGGAGTGTAGTGGTGCAATCTCAGCTCACTGCAAACTCTGCCTCCCTGGCTGAAGCTGTCCTCCCACCTCAGCCTCCTGAGTAGCTGGTCCAGCAGGCAAATGCCACCAGGCCCAGCTAATTTTTGTGCTTTTGTAGAGATGAGGTCTCACCATGTTGCCCAGGCTGGTCTCACACTCCTGGGCTCAACCGATCTGCCCACCTGGGCCTCCCACAGCGTTGGGATTACAGGTGTGAGCCACTGTGCCTGGCCTAAATTGTATTTTCCTTTTTTATTTTTGTGTATTTGGATTTGATTCTCTTCCCTTAACTTTGTCAGTCAACTCTGTAAACAGCTGCTCCCTGATACTCTCACAGTTATTTTTTATTTTTTTACAGTCCAGAGGTCTTTTATTTTTTTTAACATCTATTATGCCATGAATTCATAGGGACTGGGTTCCAGCAGCTCAGGCTCCTTCCCATTGGTTCTCACAAAGTGTGCTTCTCTGGGTGGAGCAGGCTGGCGCTTCACTTGGACCCAGGTACCTTTCTCTTTGGCTTCTTTCTTTTTCTGATCATTTTCCTTCACACGTTTTAGGAAGCTATCTCGGCTCTTAGAGTGCTTGATGTGCTCAATACGCACATTAATTCTCTTGGCAAGAATCTTGCCCTTAACTTGTTTGTTTACAACAATGCCAACAGCATTCTGGGTAACATTGTAGACTCTTCCAGTTTTGCCATGATAACATTTGTAGGGCATTCCTTTTTGAACAGTACCCATTCCCTTGATGTCTACAATATCACCTTTCTTATAGATTCGCATATACGTGGCCAAAGGAACAACTCCATGTTTTCTAAAAGGCCTAGAGAACATGTATGGAGTGCCTCTCCTCTTTCCCTTTGTGTTCGTCATTTTGGCGAATTACTGGAAGATGGCGGTTCCAGCCGAAAGCACTCTCACAGTTATTAATGTGAATGTTTAGTCTTTGTGGATTTGAATGAATGGCTATTTTTCTCTTAACTGGTTTCTGATAGATAAAAGCTCAGATTAGCTTCTCATCTAATACTTTCTGGTCTCAGTACTTTTGCTGATGAAAGTCAATTCCTGTAAGTTAGTCATATATTCCTCACACCCCTCACTTTTTTTTTTGGTAGAGGGCAAGGCAAATATAGAGATGCCACAGTTTTCAGCTGGCGAAACACTGTACTGTTCACAATCTAGCTCTAACATGCTGGCTTGCTGAATAGACCGATCGGTAGGCAGACAGATAAATAACTAGCTCAACAATTCTGTTGCTCCTTGTATTTATTATGATAGCACAATTATTGGGTTTTGATCAGTAGAATAAATCATTAGTACAAATTGGTCTCTGGTGTGACTTTCTTTGCCGCATCTTATTTATACTTGGCTTGACTAGTATTTCTTTGCCCGCGTGACATTTTCATCTATTCTCTTTGCTATGTTGATATTTAAGTCCCAGAAAAGAGTGGGTAGGAACCAGAGTACTCTCAAGGTGACAGGCAAATCTTCTAAGTGAAAAAAAAAAATCGGCTAATTTTTTTGGTATTTTTAGTAGACAGGGTTTCACCATGATGGCCAGGCTGGTCTCCAACGCCTGACCTCAGGGGATTCACCTGCCTCGGCCTCCCAAAGTGTTGGGATTACAAGCATGAGCCATCGTGTCCAGCTTCAAATCATTTTAAAATTTCCATTGATCTCTTTGATCTAGAGATTTGGAATTATGTTGCTTAATTCCAATATGTCTGGAATTTTCTGGCTTTTTCGGTTGATTGCTAGTTTAATTATCTTGCGGTTAGAGATGATACTGATTTCAATTCTTTTAAATTTGAGGCTCACACTGAGGATTAAGTATGAAAGAAATTTTTTTTTGAGACCTGCTTTCTGGCCTTGCCTCACAAACTTGATTTTGTTAAGGTGGGGTAATGATAGTACGTTCAGGGATGGATTTTTCATCTGCTTTGGTGATGCAGAGTGCACTGTGGTAGTTCAACATTATGCTTTGAAATCCCACACAGTATTTTCTTCATCTGGAGGTACTGGAGGCTTACACTAGGGAGGAGGACACAGTTCAGGCCAGCGTAGTCTTCAGCAGCACCGCGGGACTTTTGGGGAAAGCCTTTGGCCTCTCAGAAAGGCGGGGCGGAACGGTGGGTTTGAGCCCTCCCGGCTCAGGGTGGGTCGCTCAGGAGCCATCTGTGGACTTTGGGAAGCAAGGAAAGTTGTACCCTAGGATTTTTTTCTACTGGTCTTCTCTTCAGAAGCAAGAAAGCCAAGTTAAGAAAATCCAGACTCAGACGGAGGTGGAGCGGGGCTGCGTTCGGGCAAGGCGGCAGAACCCCTCGTCCGGGACAAAGAGACCGCATCTCTTAGCTAGGCCTAAGGAAACAGGGCTCCCATTCGCCCCGGCAACCCAGGGACCCAGCCAAGGAGAGCGTCTCTGGACGAACCCTTCCTTTTCTCCTTCCTTCCCAGCCGCTCAAACTTCCACAGAGAAGAGGAACTGGGAGTGGCAAAGAGGAAGGACACAGAACCGCCAGGCCGGCGACTGAAAGACCCGCCTGCAGCTGCCAGCCAACCTGCGTCCGGCCCAGCCTCGCCCACTCGACGTCATCTGCCCGTCCCCGCCCCGATCTCCGAGGGGTGGAGCCTGAGGCCCCGCCTCCAAGAGGCCTCTCCCCGGAGGGCCCGGCGGCCAGCAGGGAGGGGTGGCAGGCCGGGAGAGGGAAGGGTGCGGGGGGAAGGGGAGAGGAAGGGAGCGGTCACGTGTGGCTAGCGGCCCGAGGTCACGTGACGGGGCGCCAGAGCGGAGGGAGCCGGGGCTGGGAGTTCTCCTGAGGGAAGCGGAGTGGAGTCGGGGGGACGCGGCGGCGGCGCTGACAATGGTGAGTGCGCGGTGGCCCGCGCTCTCGCCTCCCGCCCTTGCCCTGGAGTGCGCGGCAGGCCAGCCAACCGCGGGCCGGGCGTCGCCGGAGGAGGAGACGGGCGAGCGGGGCGGGGAGCGGGGTTAGGCCTGTCGGGCCACCCCCGGGTCTGGGAAGAGCGGGCAGCGCAACCTCTTCCCGGTCTCGGCGAGGCCCGAGCACCTATAGGCGGCGGCGGCGTGCTCTCCCCGCCGTGTCGGAGCCTCTGCCCGCGTTCTTCGACCGCCTAATAGGGGCCCTGGCTGGGGACTCGGACCCCGCCTCTGCGAGGGCTCGTCGCCGCCTCCCCTTCGTAGGTAGCTAGTCCCTGCTCTCCTCCCGGGCAGCCTTGCTTCCATCCAGGTGGGGTGACCTGGGAGCCCCCCAGCTCCGGACTCTGCAGGGGACTTGGGCCCTCAGTGTGTCACGAACTTGATAAACTCTGATATTTTAAACCTGACTATGGTGACATTCTTCGATTTCATGACCCCAGTTCAGACTTTCATGTTGGCACTTGTAAAATGGGAGAGAAAAATAAAAGGACGTTGGAATGGGGGACATCTTTAACTACAGAGACACCCGTTTGGTGGCCGCCGTTTTAAGCACTGGCTCTCATTTTCGTCCCCAAGCCATTTCAGTGAACTTAACGCTCTGGGTTGTTGAAACGGCCTGGGAAGCAGAGGAGGGAGGGGAATCAGTGCTCTCACCACAGTCCGTGGAAGCACTAGCCTAGGCATAGTGGTATTTACCTGGGTGTCGGCAGTCTCCTCTAGGTTAGATCTCATTTTACGCATTTGATGGTAGTAGTCGTCAATTCGCTTCATTTAGCAAGCGTACGTTGAGCGCCTACTGTATGCTTTCCTAATACTACCTGCTTTCCGGAAGCTCACTGATTTCAATAGAGTGCTTGAGACTTTTGGCTAAAAGGCCAAGCCAGGTTAATTTTTTTAAAAGTTACTTTGAATAAATAACTTTTAAAATCAGTAATGGTGTTGCTTTCATTAAAAAAAAAAAAAAACAGACATTCACGTTCATTCTTAGAGCTCTTTTTCTTTCATTCAACAAATAATTGCTCAGGTACGCCCAGGAGACTCAAGTAAAACGGAAACAGCGCCTACCTGCTCTCTTATAGCTTAAAATGTAGGGAGAGATAAACGTTTATTTGTGTAAATTATTTGTTTAACGTGGAAATTGGAATTGCGACAGATACTAAGAAGGAAGTATTGGGGGACCTTACCTAGTCAGGGAGTTAGGGCAGGCTTCTTTAATTGAATATCATTTGAAAAGAAAACTTAAAACGTCCTCCTTTTTTTTGCTTACATTTGTAATTATCACTCTTAATAAGCTTTTTTGAATTATGTTCAAGAGCAGTTTATTTTCAAGTTACTCCTCAAACTAAATTGTAAAACTTTAAAACATTGAAATGGGTGCAGATGTAATAGATGTATGAAAATTTGCTGTTTCATTGCTTGTGTATGGGCTAAGTGAATGAATTCTGACAGCCAGCCTTCCACCTCAGAAATGCAATGAGTTGCATTTCTTTTTTTTTTTTTTTTTTTGAGACGGAGTTTCACTCATGTTACCCAGGCTGGAGTGCAATGGCGCGATCTCGGCTCACCGCAACCTCTGCCTCCTGGGTTCAGGCAATTCTCCTGCCTCAGCCTCCTGAGTAGCTGGGACCACAGGCACGCGCCACCATGCCCAGCTAATTTTTTTGTATTTTTAGTAGGGACGGGGTTTCACCATGTTGACCAGGATGGTCTCGATCTCTTGACCTTGTGATCCACCCGCCTTGGCCTCCCAAAGTGCTGGGATTACAGGCTTGAGCCACCGCGCCCGGCCTTGAGTTGCATTTCTTTACATCTACTGGACTTAATGAAATTCCTTCAATGAGGACTAAAAAGTTTGTTGCCTTTTTGTGTGTCTACACGTATTAGCTAATTGGTAATGTTCCATATTGGGTTTACAATTATATGAAAAATCGTAAATTAACCTAAAGTCAGTGATAGGAGGTTTAGGCCAAGATTAAAAAACTGTAAAAAACAATTGTTAGCATGTTTTTATAGTCATATATATTGCAGTCCAGTTATTTAAAAGTTCCCTAAGAGTTTTAAGTTGCATATTAAGAATTGATCCTGAAAATCGCAGTATTCCAAATGCTCCCTTGAACATATCTTTACCGAAAGAAGTGAATAGTATTTTTGCAGTTAAAAGATCTCACCAGGCGCGGTGGCTCATGCCTGTAATCCCAGCACTTTGGGAGGTTGAGGCGGGCGGATCACCCGAGGTCTGGAGTTTGAGACCAGCCTGACCAACATGGTGGAACCCCATCTCTACTAAAAATAAAAATAGTAGCTGGGCATGGTGGTGCACACCTGTAACCCTAGCTACTCAGGAGGCTGAGGCAGGAGAATCGCTTGAACCTGGGAGGCTGAGGTTGTGGTGAGCCAAGATCGCGCCACTGCACTCCAGCCTGGTGACAAAGGGAGACACCGTCTCAAAAAAAAAAAATCTCAAAATTGCCGTATACATTACAACATATCCTAACCCTCAACAAATTTTATTCCCTTTCCTTCTAGTCTTTAACATCCTGACAGTTCTGTATTTTACTTCCTCTTCAACCCATCAGAAGTATTACAATTTGATTATGAATAATTAGAAAAATAATTTAATTTCAAGACCCTTTATTTCAAATGACACAAGTTGCACATATTGGAAAAAACTTTGAAAGCAAGACTTTGGGTAGAGAATCTTTCTCTTTCAGTGGCTTCTAAAAGACAAGCGTTTTTCCTCAGTTATTTTTTCTTTGTGTTCTCTACCTGTAAAGTGTAAGATATCCACAATTTTCTGGAGGTGTTTTTTAGAAAGAGTAGTTTTTTTTTTTTTTTTTTTTGAGATGGAGTCTCACTCTGTCGCCCAGGCTAGAGTGCAGTGGCGTAATCTCGGTTTACTACAACTTACTCCTCGAGTGCAAGTGATTCTCCTGCCTCAGCCTCCCAGGTAGCTGGGACTACAGGATTGTGCCACCACCCCTGGCCAGTTTTTTTATTTTTAGTAGAGACGGGATTTTGCCTGTTGGCCAGACTGGTCTCAAGTGATCTGCCCACCTTGGCCTCCCACAGTGTTGGGATTACAGGCGTGAGCCACTGCCCGCTGCCCACTAGTTCATCTTTGATGTGCCCTACTGTAAAAAAAAAAAAAAAAGTTAAACCAATGCTGTATTCTCACGGAATAGTTACCGTGGTAAAGTACAGTAATTTATTACTCAGCCTATTACTTTTCTGCATTTGCTATACTAGGCTTGTAAAAATGCCTTTTGATTGCTTCCAATTTTAGTGTTTTGATTGTATTGAAAAGTATCTTTCTTTTTTGAGGCAAGCTCTTTCTCAATCGCCCAGTTAGGAGTGGTTCACTGCAGCTTTGACCTCCTGGGTTGAGGCAGTCCTCCTTATTCAGCTTCCCAAGTAGCTGGGACCGCAGGCACACACCACTACACTGGGCTAATTTAAAATTTTTTTTAGAAATGGGGGTCTAGCTATGTTGACCAGGCTAATCTTGAACTTCTGGGCTCAAGTGCTCCTCCTGCCTCAGCCTCCCAAAGTGCTAGGATTACAGGTGTGAGCCACTGTGCCTGGCTACTCTTTAAAAAACTTATGAAATATTTCTTGCACCCAGAAAATAGTAAAGGATAGCACGTAGTTTTCCACGTATTTTTAATGCTTAGGAATTTAAAAATTTAAAGAATGTTGTCAAAATAAAATATTATTTATGATTACATTGTTAGTTAATTGTGAAGTTTTATAAAATGAAACTTTGTATACTAGTTTAATTAGTGAAAATTTTAGTTCTATTAAAATTTTGTTTAACTTTGGTGATTTGATCTTTTAATTTCAGCTTTCAAACCCCAAGTGGAGCTCTATGTGTGTTAAGTATATGCATATGGAAAAAAATTATAATTCCTTTTCTCTGTAAACAATTTTTATAGTTTCCAATCTCATTTTTCTTTTAAGTAGCTCTGGGAAGTGTCAGGAGGAATGAGAAAATTAATTTTAAGGCCAAGGAAGATGGCTCATGCCTACAATACCAGCACTTTGGGAGGCTGAGGTGGATGGATTATTTGAGCCTAGGAGTTTGTGATGGGCAATGTGGCGGAAACTCTGTCTCTACAAAAAATATGAAAACAAGCCAATTATGGTGGTGAGCACCTGTAGTCCCAGCTACTTGGGAGGCTGAGGTGGGAGATTTGCTTGAACCCAGGAAGCAGAGGTTGCAGTCAGCTGAGATCATACCACTGTGCTCCAGCCTGGATGACAGAGTAAGACTGTCTCAAAAAAAAAAAAATTAAAATTTTCTGTCTCTGTTTTATAACTCAAATGAGTTAATGTGGGTGTCATAAGGAAGGAGAGCTCATTCTTACTGCTCTCCCTGCCAATTATATTATCTTTCAATATAGCTGATTTTGTTTTTCCTTCTAAAATAGACTACTACTTGAAGAGTTGTCTTCTACCCTTTCACAATTGCTCCTCCCACACAACCCCTCTACCCTGCTAGCTCAGCACATATTTGATTAGTAAATATGAGGTGCTTGATTTTGAGCTGCTATACATTCTATAGCCCTTAGGAGAAAATGTACTATAGTATTTCAAAATTTATGATTTTGAGCAAGTTTTGAGTTTAAGACTTAGAAAGCTACCTAGGAATGAACAGTGTGTGTGACCGATCACTAATGCTTTTCATTCTCTTTTTTCTAAATTAGTTTGGAATAGTTTTCTGATTAAAATTAGTTTTCTGGTTAAAATTTGAGTTTGTTTGCAATTTTGCCAGAAAAGATGAAAATATCTTGTCAAAAAGAAAATATGCTGTATATCTCAAAAGTGCTAATCTGGTAATTCTTTTAGTTGGTTTCTTAAAATTATAATCCCTTTTGTTAATATAGGATTTAGGAAAACATCTCATTTGAGCATAGCATCACCTTGTGCCCTTCGTAGCCGTAAAATAAGATAACAGAAAGCAAACTAATGACTTGCAAGTGAGGACAGAACTGAGATTTAATATCAGTTCCACTGGCATAGTATGCTGCTATACCAATACTGATTTGCTGGGAAAGGCTAATATTACCGACTCTTTTAGATTTCAGTTAATTCTTGTGTATTCATTTATTTTCTATTAGAATGGTGTATGTTTGTTCAAAATTAATTTAACATTCAGCAGGTATTTGAATGCTTTCTACTAAATGCCATACGCTGCCTTAGATGAACCTCATAGAGTTTACAGTTCACTAGGAGAGTCAGGCACTAAATAAGCCTTGTGAAACCTAAATTTAGAGAATGCAGTTTTGATTAGGAAATCAGGGAAGGTCTTGTGGAGAGGGAGTCAAGCTGAAACTCAAAGAGTGAATTAGGTTAAGAATACTTTGCTTGGCTCTAAGACAAGAAGGACACTAGCAAATTGGAGCTACTGAAGAAAGAACTCTGAACAATGGACCAGGCTGAGTGATGAGTAGTGTCAGATATATGTAGACCACATTAGAGAATACTTCGCGTGTGTGTCTATGTGTTTAAGATAACAGTGGGAGTAAAATATCTGTGGAAAAGTACACAAATAGGTATATAGCTTGATGAATTTTCACCAAGTGAAATACCTCGTATCAAATGCTTAGATCAAAAAAACAGCCAGAACATTACTAGCAGTCAAAAGCTCCCTTTATGCTTTCTTTCAGTCATTGCCTGACTTGTAATACCATAATGTATATTACATGTTTTTTACTTACTATATGAGTAGAATTATACAGTGTGTATTCCTTTTGTGTCAGGCCTCTTCACTCAACATCAGGTGTATGAGATTCATTCTTGTGTGTAGTTGTATCTCCTCTAATTCTATTGCTAATTTGGTGTTCCATTTGTATGAATATATACCAAAATGTATTTATCCATTCTTGTTGATTTTTGGATTGTTTCTATTTGGGGCCATTACGAACAACACTTGTGAACACTCTTATTTTTTTTTAAATTTATTTATTTTACTTTAGGTGCATACTACATCTGGCATTTCTCCCCATGTTATCACTCTCTACCCCCCCTTCCCACCCCCCGCATTGTCTCTCCCCTACCCCCCCAACTGCCCCCAGTGTGTGATGTTCCTTTTCCTGAGTCCATGTGTTCTCGTTGTTCAACACCCACCTGTGAGTAAGAACATACAGTGTTTGGCTTTCTGTTCTTGTGTCAGTTTGCTGAGAATAATGGTTTCTAGATTCATCCAAGGAACACTCTTTTTTTGATACAAATTCTTGCTCTGTGGCCCAGGCTAGAGGGCAGTGTTGCCATCTTCGCTCCCTGCAACCTCTGCTTCCTGGGTCCAAGTGATTCTCCTGCCTCAGCTTCCCGAGTAGCTGGAACTACAGGCATGTGCCACCACGCCTGACTAATTTTTACACAGAGTTTTGAAAAAGAGACGGGGTTTCACAATGTTGGCTAGGCTGGTCCCAGACTCCTGACCTCAAGTGATCTACCTGCCTGGGCCTCCCAAAATGCTGGGATTGCAGGCATGAGCCACAGCACCCAACCAGATATGTATATGTGTTTTTTTAAAGATCATTCTGGGCCAGGTGCAGTGGCTCATGCCTGTCATCCCACCACTTTGAGAGACTGAGGCAGGAGGATTGCTTGAGCCCAGGAGATCGAGACCAGTGTGGGCAACATAGTGGGACCTTGTCTCTACTTTTTTTTTTTTTTTTAAAAAAGATCATCTGGTTGTTATGTAGGACAGAGTATGAAGGGTGTAGGATGACAGGATAGGAGATTGTTCTCTGTGTAAACCTAAAAAGATTAGAAGATTAAGTTTCATTGTGGCTAAAATAACCCATAACTATATCCAGTATCAAAATTACAAATGGAGTCTGTATTATTACCAACTAATGTGTGTTGGCATTGATAAGTAATTGACCTTTATCCCTTATATTTGTCATATTCAGGATTTATAGAACAAGGCTTATAGATTTTCTTTAGAAAAATTCACAGAAATTTTATTATTTTCCCCCATTATAGCCGGTTTTACTACACGGGCTTTTAAAGTGTAACATATTCTCTTCAGACCAAATATAGCAGTGGTATAGTAAGTAGTGCATTATAATAGTTCATTTGGATTTGCATGAGTATGTTGAATTGTGTAAATTCTGCTATAATAAAAGAACCTTAGAAGGTATAAATAAAAGTAACTTTTCAAGCCCAGATGTTAAGAATTAGCTTCTTGGATTTCTGATATATGTTAATATTTGATTTTTTATAGTGGTTTCCTATAGAAATGATTGAAATTATAGCATGCTAAAATTTGTTTAGGGTTTTTTTTTGTGTGTGTGGTTAAAAAAACACATAACATGAAATCTGCCCTCTTAACATTGTATTCAAGTTGCTCAGTATTATAACTTAGTAGTGTACTCAATTT